CCATATTGAATTTCATGCAATTCAGTTCATAATTAACGGAAATGTAAAAGCGATCGAACATTTCTAAACAAAGTTATCGTTCACATGGACAGATAGATGGACAGACAGACAAAGGAACAGACGGAGAGACCAACCGGCAGGCGACAGATAGCAATGCAAAATTATAAACGATCTCTAGGATCGTTAATAAACGGCAAAAGTGTAAAATTATGGAACATGTAAAAAACGGTTTTTTGTTTTTTTTACAATAACTTTTTTTGTAAGCGGTACAGAAAAAATTCCTTCCTTGGTACAAGACTCGACACCATAACGAACCAAATAGCGAAAAAAGTAGAACAATAGCTCTTAAGATAAAGAACTAGTAGCGTCGCAAAACGAGCGGACGGACGGACGGACGGACAAAGTGGCCACAATAGCGCATTTTTTTTTTTTTTTTGTGGAAATGCGCTAAAAAGGGTACATTATAAAAGAGTATAATGTAGGTACGTTATATGTTCGTTATGCTCCAATAACACTTTGCAACACATTTCGCTTTTAATTAATGCACACATCTTTCTGGTGAGGAACCCTGCAACGTATTTAACAATTTGTTCAATATTGCAGAGTTCATGCTTTTTGAACAAACATTTATTGCATATCTTCTACTTATATTTCATTGTTCCAATTAATTGAAGCATTAATAATTTGTTCGTTGCTTCCTTGCGACGGACAAGTGTCCAGAGGAATACAACTCTCCACCCCACTATCTCACAACTCTGTTGTAATCAGCAAGCGTTTGTAGGTATATGCACTTTCAAACCGCCTTGAGCTGGGGTTGTTATTCTATCCATCCCTTGATCTTTTGGAAGAAGAAAATAATTCCAAATGGTCCTGGCTTATTTTAGGATCCTTCGCAAAAAATACATTGCGTTTCCATATGGTGCATACTACCTGGGACACATTGAATGATTGAATCTTTTTCTTCCCGATATATCTGCTTGCTTGTGAATGGCTGATGTGAATCCTGGGGAACAATTGACTGATTTATACAATTTGCCGATGGTGCACACCAGTATCATACACTGTTCTGACATAATTTTCCCCTTTTGGAGACAGATCATTAGCTTATACACTGTTTGCGGCTAAGTGCGGAGAACCAGGTGATCATGCACCAACAAAGTAATTAATGAACTGTAATCTATCTTGATTGATACACTTCTTATCAGTTTGGTTGTTATCATGAAGGAAAATAAAGTACAACCTTAGTAAATAATTCTTATATTGAAAACTGTACAAATAAAATAAATGTACCTATATTCTTTTCCGAGTGAATCTTGAGGGCAAACGCAGCTGATGGTTTCAGAATGGGAAATTATTTCTAAACAAAATAGCAACCATAAAATAGAATAAATGAATTGGAATACTCACAATTATACAACAGGCTTTGGCAATAAAGCCCTAAGCAGTTTCTTGTACTTCAGTAATAAGCTGTTGATACTATAGCAAACCGTTGACGATGACGACGGTGATAATATTGAATTGAGATCTCTTCTCCCCTAACGGGTTTAATCATAACGATCTTCCTTCAGGATATCTTGTCTTTATCGAATGTGGCGGTGATCGATGTGTAGGTATTGTTTCGAACATCCATCGATGACCTCTCTCTTTTTAAGACCAAATCCTATCTGTCATGCGCCCTGCGCAGACTACATGTGAGTACAAAGGCAACATACACTATACGACTGGTGACACGCTTCGGGCGTAGGGCAAGGGCAGCATACTTGCGATACAGTCTTATATCCAGGTTGTTTTGAAATAAAATAGCCTTGGTCTTATATACTCTGGATTCGTAATGGTGAAAGTGCGATTTATGCATATATACCTAATATAAGAGAAGTATATGGATTAACCGAGTGGACACGCCTATCGCCAACATTGGTCGAGGGAATACTTCTGTAATTAGTAGTCAACTAGGCGCTAATGCGCTTGCCTGTTGTTATGTAGTGTTATTTACCAAGCATTTACTCCAGTTTGACATAACGGATTGAGGTTAAATTGTTTGTTTTGTTTATGAGTTATTGAACTTTTGTTTAATTTTAATAGTAAAGAAGACTTTCGTATGTATATGAATCAGTATACGTAAAGTGATACACAATAATATTGTAAAGAAATACCTAATGTTTGGCAATTTTAGTGTGTTCATTACTTAGAAATAAAGAATACAGGTACTTGTGGGAAAATGGATTCTTCGGTTTCATGGCACAAGTAAGTTACAATGCAATTATCTGCAATTCATTTATGCCATACTTGTTATTAGATTCCCAAGTGAAAAAAGCAACAAGAATCGGTGACTGCAAGCATGTGAACTATCGGAATTCGATGATGTAAAAACAAGGTTGTGCTCTCGTCATTTTAACCGCTATGACTGCATTGATTTGGATGCACGCAAGCATGATGGGGGCACGAAGTTATATGGGGGTCACTTAACACCTAAAAGATTTCCAACTCTACAATGTTAATTTTATTTTAAAATCAGTAAATGTCTTTAATGTAATTGTGTTTCTTTGAATATTGGTAATGTATCACTTTGTATTATAGCTGATGCGAACTTATCCAATTTCATGTTATATTCAAGATACAATCCCTATAGGTATATTATTTCAATTGCAATTTAAGTTTCTAAATCGTTACAAGGTTTCCCTTCGAAGTTGAAGGGTGTAACCGTAAACAAACTCCGCTGAGGAAGCTCGAAAGTTCTCCGTGAAAATGCTACAGTTTCCAAGCAGAACGTCTTGAGAGGGTGGGCTTCGGCCACCAAGTATATACTTATCTAAAGACATCACAGGATCTGACAATAGTGATAGGAGTCGGCAAGTGGAATGGCGCCAATGTGTTGAATATGAACCTGCATGAAGCGAATAGAAGTCTGGGTGAAGTTTCCGAATGGTGCGTGGTTGTGTTTACATATGGTAATTGCACACAATAATGGTTTAATAAAAATTTTACCCTATTTTCGAGTTATAGGTTATGAAATTTGAAATTGGCGCTATACTTAAAAGTAACGGTAAGAAGTAAATATTTACTTAGGGAGTTTGCGCATAAATACAGAGTTAACTACTAAGGAATAGGGCAGCTCTCTTTTATGGCCAACAATTTGCACATTGCTATCATACGCGCTTATCCATATACTTCTCTTATACAGGGTGACAATTTGAAAACTTTGAAAATAAACATGGAAAATCGTATTTAACTTGAACTTCCAAAGCCGACTTGACAGCAACTCATTTTTGATCGCCAGTTATAATCTATTCTCAAACTCTTGTCGAACCTTTTCAAATGTTGGTTTTACAATATTTCGACATTCTTGAATTATTCTCTGTCTTAGTTCGTCTATGTTCGCCGGTTGCGTTTTAAATACGACAGATTTCAAATCATATTAGTTTATTTTTTGATTTGCACGATAATTACTAACCTAAATGTAATGCTATTTGGTATGGTTGGAAAGCATTTTTTCAGAGCTTTCCAACAACGTATCACACATGGGGGGTCACTATTTAAGATTTAAAAGTTGGGGTGGCTGGGGCGCAGGGGGTTGGAGGGGGTGCGTCGCCAACTATGTCATTGTGATTCCCCCTCCAAATTACCGAAACGGATTTTGATTTTTTTAAATATCTCGTTTATTTACTAAGATATGGGGGGTGGTAAGTTTTCAAATTGTCACCCTGTATATATGCAAAAAGAAAGAGCAGTACTTTATTAGTACATTGTGGGTTGACATACAGCAGCGAAAAGAGAGGGAGCGCATGGTGCGCATCATAGTCATACAAGTACAAGATCGGTGGGGGAAATAATGAAAGCGGTAAATTTAATTTAACAGAACACCCGACCTCCGGATTTTATAGCCCAACGTACTACCACTGAATATCCAGGAGTTGGATATTCAATGGTACTACCATTGAGCCACAAAGCCGGTGCCTGATCAGTTTAATATCATTAAATAAATCACCGAAATTTAATTTAAACAACATTGCAAATAAATCAGCACCACCAACCGAGCCACCAACCAAATTTTTAGTGGTATTTTTGCAGGCCGAGGTCGGGAAATGATAAGTTCCTGCATGTGTTTGGGCACGGAATTCGGAAAACAAAGCTTTGAAACAAGGAGACAAAAATAACTATCGTCTTATTAGTTCATACAGATAATCGTAACAAAGGATGATGACTGCCGTAGACGACCATTTGATTGATCGTGTTTAGTCAAAAGTTTTAAATGTAGGTACCTAATATAAGTAATCAAAGATCAACAGTATACAAAAATATATACACAACTGAGGACGAAACCACTGGGGAGCGAAATGCATACGAAACGGCGTATGCGAAACGGACTCTACGGAAGCATTCTTATGACCGTTTGCATCTAGAATTCTAGACTGCACAGTGCACAGTGCACAGGTACCAAACCATTGAATGACATGGAACGCGAATTTCCCGATAAATCTACTTCCTTCATATCACAGACAACATATATTATACTGTGTTCATATTCAAGGATCACGACTAATCGATACCTTATTATAATCAGTCAAAGAGCGTATGAGAGACTAGAAATTTCCGTCTGATTTGGTTGAGACACGTACGTACGTACAACATTCGTAATTTAAATCCGGAAAATGGTTCGTGTGGGCAAATTTCATAGTTGTGGAAGTTCAATCTGCACCGTTTGGCGGTATACCGCACGGTAGCAAAGACGTTTCCAGTTGGCAAATTTTGCATAAATTCACCTTGTTCCACAAATCAATTTAAGGGATACTGTTCTTACGCTTCAGTTACAGACTCTAAGCGTACAATTTATCGAATGGACGTAGAAAAGTAAATCCTCCAATTAGTAAAGAGGCATGCAGTTCATGTCAGTTTATATTAAAAACAAGGGTTGATTTTTTTCGGAAGCTAACTGAAAAACTCATTGGGTAAAGTAAATAAATCAAATCTGTGACGCATAAATAAGCTTGAAAAGGCGAAGATAAGCTTAAAAAATTACTTCCCCTTACAATCTCAAAAGTGACAAAATTTTAACTCGGCAAGATTATGCGCAATATTAAATCCATTATGAAATGGAAATATTGTTTGTCTTTTTAATTATTTACGCATAATTTAGATAAATGTTATATATCGTCTATTAGTAGTTTTAAACATTTCAAATAAACGTGGTCAGCAATTTGTAGTGAACGGAGATGTTTAAAAATGAATACGCAGATCAAAAGCATTCAGAATACTACGCGTTCGTGTACTCATATTTATACCCGGATCGAAAGAGATTAGCCAGGTTGCGGACAGCATTTTCCGTTATGTTAGACGGCCATTTTTCCTTATAATATAAGTTTATAAGTATAAAACATTTTTATAGCAAAGTTAAGTTGCGGTGTGTGCTGGGCGTGTTCAATTTTGCTTATAAGTTTGAAGGAGTCTTAACCTCACTTTTATTTTACATTGTGTTAAAATGTCCAAAGTTCACTACTATGCTCTTAGACAAAAAGAAAAGAACTACCGCCAACATAAACACTGCACAATTGTAGGTTAGCAGGAAAATGTTATTTATGAGTGATTACGTACTGCGCAGTGACACATTATAAGAACTTCATTTTCATTGGTTCCGCTATTTATAAATATATCGTACAAAAAGCCCTCATACCGTAAATTATTTCTACAAAAATTTATATTTCTTATGTTATAAGAAAAAATGGCCGTCTAACATAACGGAAAATGCTGTCCGCAACCTGGCTATTATGCTACCACCCGCATCACTTTGGTATTATCTCTGAATAAAATTTAGGGTTGTATATTTAGCCGAGCACCAAATTGATATGATTTTCAAATATTTCTCTTGTGGCACTCAATATCATACTGTGGGTTCCAAAAGTATTAAACATATTACAATTTAAATTTGTGGATGTGCGTATTTTCGCCATACCTCAAGCAGGTATCAACATGCGGTTTTTACTTTTAGCATTGGAAATGCTTATGTTTTGTATGGGTATGAATTACCAGGTTTGCCGAGTAGAAAAAAAGACAGTGGTGTCGCGTCTAGTGATGATTGTACCGTACTCGACTGCAAGAAAAAGTCGCGGATACTGTCGATACGGTACTTACTTAACAGTGCGCAGGGGTTTTGTTAATTCGAATCTCCCGTGATTACAAGCATGTTACGCCGCTTATTATTCAGAAAGTTTATGTTTGCAACACGAGCGAGCTTGCTAGCGAGTGGAGCAAGATTATTCCGCGTGAATAAGGGTTATTTATGGCTTTATAGGTTATACGGTTATCATTTCCAATGTCTCCGATGGTTGCAAGGATTGCGAAATCTGTGAATTTTTCATCTTATTTGATATTAGGTATGTACTTAATAATGATATCGTTAGGTACCGGGGAACCGTTCGTCTTCGTCGTATGATTTAGAGGTAAAAAAAATGATTGGGTAAATCGGTTATGAAGAATCGCTGGAAAATTTTTTCAAGTTCTAAAAATGATAATGCATTTCCTTTTAATTTCGCATAGTTAGCTAAACATT